TCTCTCTCTCTCTCTCTCTTTCTCTCTGTGCATGTTACAATCGCGTTAATTGTGCTCCGGGGATGCAAAGTGATGTGAGCGCTAAAAAGGCAGAATTGGAATAAGGGAGCACAAACGGGTGATGTGCAAATATAAACCGCCTGCGCGCAATTGCGAAACGCGAAAAGAGATTTCGAAATGCACAGCGTGCTAATTAGCACATTACATTTGTGTGTTAACGTTTTGAACCTTTGTTGTTCGCGCTCGCGAAAATAAAAGAAACGATCGATGCGACGCGAGAAACGATAGAAGAGAGGAGAAAAATACATTTTCCCCTCAATTTTACAAACAACACGCTCTCTAAATTTCTCGATGTCTCACGATTCGATATATAATCTCGCAACAATGAAAAGCGGCACGCCACTCGTGATTAGCGAAAATTCAACAAATTTGACAGAACAAAAAAGTGTTTAACTCCGGACCGTAGAATGTGTCGCTCGTTTTCGATGAATAATTTCATTATTGCAAAACCAATCGTTTATTCTTGCAATATCACGTCCTCGAATAAGTCTATCTCCGTTAATTCTCGAGTTTATTCTAATTCGCGGACCACAAAAGCCGTTCCGTGAGAAATCGTTTCGGTCCCGAAAGATCAATCGGAACAATCTCCGCTTGCCGGCTCTCCCGTGTTCTATTGATTCAATTACTAAAACTCTAGGCGTTGAGTTTATCACAAAACCGAGTACTTATATATAGTACTTATATATATATATATATATAGCGGATACACGCACGCTCGTGTGTTCGTTCTCCGCGCGAATGAAAAATATTCACTCCGCGCTTTGCATCGCGGAGCGAACGTATTCGCGACCCAGAGTGAAATATTCATTTCGCAACGGAAAGTGAAAGAAGAATTCACTCCGCATGAGCGAAAAGTCACTCTAACCCGAGCGATTTGCTCGGTGTTTCGCGAGCTCATGCACTTTTGCACTTTGAGAAATTTAGAGAGCACGCGCGCGCGATAAAATGCGAGATTTTATTTCGATGACGGAAAGGTTTTTAATTTCTCTCTTTCGTGAATTAAAAGGGTTTTAATTTTTCGACTCCTTTTAAAGTCTTATTGTTTTTTTTTTTTTTTTCGAATCATTTGTGCGACGCGTATTTTTTTTTTTTTTTTTTTTTTTTTTATTGTCAATTGTAACTTACAGAGATACGCATCGGCAATTGTTACAGATTCCCTCTGTCAACTCTTTTTTCGCGCGCTTGTGTTTGTTCGCTTTTGTTTGCTCTCAGAAAATACCACGCCCGCGATTGTAATGGGATCTGTTAACGAACATCACCGGGGAATTTTCATGTTTATTGCCGGGCTGGAGAAACGTACGCACGGGCTACGGTTTTAGATCGAATGGAAAAAGTAACGCCGGAGCGCGAAGAAGTGGGATGGGATGGGAAGGGGATTGAGCGTTTTATAACGCCCTGTTGCAAATAGTAGTCGCTCGTGCGACGTTAGGATGACACGGCGCGATGAGAAAAAGATTGCTCCGCAAGAAACGGACCGCTTCGTTAATAAATCCGGGAAAATAATTAAAGTTTATCCACAGATGTCCGATGAAAAACACATATATATGTAAACGAGTGCGAGTACGTCAAGTTTGTTTAATAATTTTTTTTTTTTTTTTTTAAGCGGTTTACAACGATCTACGGTTTAAATAATTCAGTTATAATACGAGTAAGTTCGTGCAATAACAGTTGCGTTTTTCTCGATTAATCGAACCGTTTTAAAAATAAACACGTAAATAAAATAGATATCGATAAAATAAATATATGAATAATATTGTACTTCAAATTTTTTTCATGTTTTTTTTAGATGCAATTTATATTCGATGAAATGTTCTCGATCAGAAAAAAAAAAAAAAAAAAAAAACAAGAGAAGAAGAAAAGTAACGATTGTATACGTACCCAAGAGTTTCATGACTTGCGACTGACTGATGAATATATTGAGATAGCCATCGCTGCAGCCAATCAGGACTAGGAGGACGAAGAACTTGCGACGCAGGAGGTCGCAAGGACCGCCACACCACCGCATTGTCTCACATGCTCCGTACGCTCCACCACTGTTTTTCACGCACCTGTCCGAGTGGTTCGCAATCTTAGCACCACGTCGCGAAGAAGAACCGCAGAAAAGTCCCGTCGCTGTCTTCGGCACCGATTCGCACGTGGTACCATTCATCGGCGTGCTCCGCCATTTCTCTCCCACGCCGCTCTTTCAAGTCTTCTTCGAGTTTCTTCAGCGCCGTGGGAAGTTGTCGTAAAAAAAATTGTCGTAAATAAAATTTTCATCTCGATACGTGGGAAAAGAAAAACGTGATCGCCCCTCGGCGATTGTCGAAGCGCGTTGCGAAATTCGCACTGAGAATCCGCTCGTGAGTCGTTCGTATCGGGAGGGGAAGACGATCACATGGCTGTGCGATCCACGATGACAGCGAGATGAGAGCGGCACAAGAGACGCGACGTCATCGCAGTCGACGTCGGTGCTCGACTGAGTCAACGACGCCGGGCGTCCCTCGTTTTCGCGTCGCGACGCGACTCGTCGCGCCTGCGCCTATGCCCTACGGGTTCTCCGGGTCTGTATATAGCGATGAAAACGGCATTACATCCGTATGTACGTACGTACGTACGTACGCTATGACGGATCGCTAGAAAAACAGTGCGTGCGTGAGTATGCATCGCAAATCCCGGGGTAAGGTATAAGTTGCGCCACTGAAAACAGACAGTCGGATAAACATTGCGAAAATGGGCGCGAGGTGGACTGTGTGAAAATTGTGAGAGAATATGCATCGTCGCGGATTGCGCAAAAACCATCTCCTACTGTCCGCGAAGCGAGGCTTTTTCCGCGGCTAGGTCCGGAGTTTGTGCGCTATTTCTCGGAGAACATTTTGTCCCCTCCCCGGGGCAAAATCCCGCGAGATAAACAAGTTGCTACAAGTTGTCGCGAGAGAGTCACGACGGTTTATTTATCGCTCGTGTAATCATCTCGTTAGATTAATGATTGGGTCGTCAAGATTAATTATAACAGTATCTCTCTCCCCTTCTCTCTCTCTTTCGCTTTTTTGAGATTGCAAATAGAGTAATTCACAAGTTATCTGGAGATCAGAATTTGAATTATATATATATATATATATATACAGAATAGATTTACATACAATGCGTTAAAATATAGACGGAAAAGGGGGAGAGAGAATTAAAAATACACAGTTTTTCTCTCGTCGTAGGAAGCGCGCAAATATGTATGTATTATCGCGGTGCGGTGTTTTCCACACCGTGAAATGAACAATCAGATTTGCGATATAATTTTGAAATAATAATACGCGAAACCTTTGTCGCGCCGATAATTCTATCGAACTGGTTATTGACGAGGCGATGACGTCGAGCGCCGATTAACAGCCGCGCGCGCGATTCAGCGCAACGACGAAAATTGACGTTCACCGTCCAATAACATCAAAAAGTTTCAATCCACTTGGAGCCGTGAAATTTCGCCGTGATGGTTTCGCCTGTTTCTGGCCTCGTCAGCGACGATATTACGTTGCTGACGAGCTTTAGCCCGACACATGAGAGAGCGCGTGTGATGGTGGGAACGATAACTATATATACGAAAGAGAGAGAGAGAGAGAGAAAGTGAAAGAAATAAATCCGAACCCCGACGACCAATCGCGTGCAATTGCGCGCGTCACCGGGATTTTTCTGATCTCAAGGGAAACGGTATCGGCTCGCAATCGACACCGCGCGCGCGCGCGCGTGTGCGTCTTCTTCGTGAAAAGCGTTAGAATTTAATTAAATCGGCTAAACCTCCTGTCGTGTCGCAGAATCGTCCACTTCCTTTCCACCTTCTCTCCGGACAGTTCACAACCCCCGGATTCACAATTTGATCTTCGTGGAGTTTAACTTCCAGAGGGCGGACTCTACGTTGGTTCTTTCTCTCTCTCTCTCTCTCTCTTCTCTATCTCCGGTCCTCTCCCCCGCGTCGAAACGGCGCTTTAATTATACCGCGGGATTAATTAACTCTCCGTCGAACTCTCGGCGGAACACACCCGCGGGATTCTCTCTCTCCTTCTCTCTCTCTCTCTCTCTTTCGCCCGGACTGATCGCAAATAATTAAAGACCGTTTTTCGTTCGTTCCTTCGTCGATCTGCTTCCCTCGAGCTTGCAAACAAACAGGCGACTACGAGCGTGATTTCGCATTGACGGTTCGCGAGGGTGTTGACACGGGTGCGAAATACCGTGATTGTCATTGCAAGAAAACACGTATGCGCGAAAACACAGCGATATCGTATCGCAGTACTAAATGCGCTACGAAAAAAAGCGAGTTTTACGTTAATTTACGAGTTAACTTCTGCAAATGTTTTTTTAAGAAACATATTAAATATATAAAGAGAGAGAGAGAGAGAGAAAGGAAAATAATATTAAAAAAATGTTTATCTCACTCTCGCATCTCTCGCTTTTTTGTACTTGACTGATACATATTAAAAAAAAAAAAAAAAAAGCTCCATTCAACACGATTGCAAACAGAATGAAAGGAAACCATCTTTGATATCGCTAAAACGTCGAATCGATTTTGATTCGTGAAGATGTAGTTCGAACTCTCATGCGCGCCGAACTACAAGAGCGTATACGGAACGTATATGGTATATGCGTGTACATATATGTATGTATATATATATATATATATATAAATTGGACGGCATACGAGCTCGGTGTACACATATAGGAAAGTTACACGAATATACCTAAAGCTAAGAGTGGATCTAGTCGAATCCATTAAATATTTGAGCGAACGAAAGAGGCTAGGGGAAGAGCGAGCTTCGCGGAGGAAGTCTACCCTCTAGGTTCTTAAGATCTATATAGTAGCCTAACTCTCTCTCTCTCTCTCTCTCTCTCTCTCTCTCTCTCTCTCTCTCTCTCTCTCTCTTTCCTTCCCGTGTATTAATATTTACATTTATATTTCTTCCCGGGCGTCCCTCTTATTTCAACGTAATACCGCCAGGGATTTTCAGCATTCTAGACTGAATTATTATGGCTTTCACAATTCAACACATTTCGAGAACAACTGCCATACTCGTCGGGGGGGTTGTTCGGGTTTTAATAAGTGACGTGTATATCGCTCCGTTGCTCCGTTCCGCTCCGATATTTTGTACAAATTAAGTGAATTTTACTTGGATAAAATAAGCTCCGTCTGTCTCTCTCTTTCTACAGGCGTATAAAATGATGAGAGATGTATGATTCACATAAATACGTAATGAACGGGAAGCGTTCAATCAGTGACTACGTATCGGAGCACGCGAACAAGCTGTTAAGTCATTTGGACGCAAACCGATTTACCTTCCTTTCCTTTGCGGTGATATCATCTAATCGATCGATCGGAAGCGAATGAAAATAGTGCGCGGATCCTACGACTTACGGTGGAAACGCGATCTTTACGACTTCGACGATACACATCTCGCGGACTGTAGATATATCAGACACGAAGCAATATAATGTTGTATTTACACACGTAATGTTGTATTTACACTTACAAGAGAGAAAAATAATATTCTCAAATTAATTTTTCTCCGCGTTAAAAAGCCGTCGTTATTGACACATTCATTTAAACGAATTCAGTCGCGTGTTATTAAACAGAGAAAGATATTACCAAAACGACGAGGATCAGATACGGGATGAAGATTCGCGACGTCGAACGTTTTCAAAAAAAAAAAAAACACAATCCCAGCGGTTACACGTCACGAGCGGAAACCGCGGCAATTTTTCTTTTTTTTTCCAGCAAAAATTTTTTTCTCTACGCGCGCGCGCTTTTGCTCCGCTCGGAAGCTGTGCAACTGTCTGTCTTTTGAAGGGTCGGTCGGTCGGTCGGTCGGTCGGTCGGTCGGCCTCGGTCTTTTTCGCGCTATCGGGACGTGATGAGCGCGAAACTCGCGGGAAATTCCGGTTAACCCAGATGAGCGTCGGCGCGTGAGAACAAGCTTGACGAGTTTTTGCATTTTTCAATGCGACCATGCGAGAGCCAAGCCGCGCGGCGCCGAGAGCCAACTCGCGACTATATATCAACGGATACGGGGATTTCTGTTCGATTTCAACCCGCGGCAAAGCACGCGCCGAGGTTACCACGGTTTGATGAGACAAAGCGAGTCATAGATGCTATTGGCGCCGCGATCGATATTTACCGAAACATAAATAGACGCGAGTACTTGAATGAACGCGCGCGCGACGTCTCCAGTCCTCTTCCCTGTGCGATGATAACTTCGTGTAATTTCTGCCGACTTGACGAATCGGATCGTATCGAACGAAAACACACGTCGGTGTAAATTATCGAGATAATTTCCCCCGAGAAAACGAAGAAACACGTTATTTATGTAATTAATAATGCGCGCGCGCGCACGCACACACACACACACGTGTCGCGGATGCAAATGAAAATCGTCACATTTTCATCAATGTACGCATTAACAAATAGACGTTCCGCACCGGAACGTGAACGTTTGCACTGTAAATGTGATTCTCTCTTTTAACTTTGTGACAAAAATTTTAATAATTTAAGGCACAATTAAGCTTTCATCGCTAAAAGTTAGATTAACGCTCGCTTTCTGTAACAGCAAGTTTTTTTTTTTCAAACAAAACGTAAAATTTTGAGTAAAAAACTGAAGTAAAATCGCGGCTTTTCCTCTTTGTCGTTATTATTCTTTTATCTCTTTTTTGTTTCCTGTTCTCTCGCACGTGGCAATTTAGTGTGTGTAAACGTAGATAAAAGATGTCATTTTCGGGCGCAAACATCGCTCTTGTAATTGCGTCCGGATTTTGTGTATATCCGGAATATAAAACTCTTGTCGGCTTTCCCTTCGTAAAATATGTCCGTCGCGGAAGGGCTTTTTTTCTCTTTTTCCTTCGCGTATTCGAATTATTGACATTTAGCCATCGATATCTCGTGCGCGGCGTCGTCTCTCGTCTTTCATCCCTTCGGGCGGGCGGGGCCGGAAATATTATGGAAATTACGATCCCGTGAAGGACGAGATGGAATCTTGCTATGGCGACTCGCAAATCGAACGCATTAAAAGTCCATTATCGGTTGCCGCGCGAAATGAAAGACACGCGGAGAGACAGAAAGAGAAAGAGAGAGATGGAGAGAAAGAGAGAGACGCGTGGAGAAAGGCGGAAGATGAAGAGACCCGTGGGGGCAAAGTGGACCAAAGCAAGGAGGAAGATTCAATCGGTCATGGCCGGGCAGTTGGGATCTCCTACTACTTGTTGACCCTTAACCTGACCAATTTGTCTCTCCCAAACCGAATAGAATATTGATGATTAAATGACGATATATAATTCTGCTCGATATTCTCAACCCCGTTACATTTTATATTTGATAAAAAGAAAAAAATTGACATTTCGAGATCTTCAAGTGCAGAGTACATGTATATGGCCAGACATCTTATCAGAAAAAGATGTGTGTAAATAATCACAATTGATTCTCTCGATATT